TTTTTTTTTTTTTTTTTCATTTTTATTTTCTTCTTCTTCCATTCTTCAAGTCTTTCTTTCTTTCTTTCTTTCCGAATGATCGGCCTTTCGATGGACTCCAACGGCGGAACCTGTTGCCAGTTGTCTCTACTTTCGTAGTCCCGGGTCTTTCGGCCTTGTACTTGTTTTTCGTTTCCGCCCTTCTGAAGACTCGTTGACACCCGGAGGTCTATCTAATGCGTGTCCTAGCCTTCGGTCCACTTACTGTAGGTTTCCATGTGAATGCATGTACTTTGGATCTTTACCAAAATGCGCTCGTAGATGTTTGCCGTTTGGACGGTTGTGTAGGTCTGTAGGTGCGTGGTGCGTTGTACGTCTACGGAAGTTGGGTACAAGTACGACACTCGTTGAATTAGGGGTTGTTGTCATTGCTTTTCTTGCCACGGGCTTGGTGGAGGTCCCATTGTCTGTCTGTTCTGTTGTTGTGGACATGTGCACAAACCATCACAGTATTCGTATGTGAGTGTACACTAAGTGCGTTTGCTGTTTCCTTTCTCTGGCTCTACATTCTTTCATCCAGTGACCTGTAATTTATATGCTGGGTTTGTTAGCATCAACCCCTCTTCTCCCTCTTCCACGTGTGCACGCGCTTCTCTCTTTCCCACCCTCTGTCTGTCTGTCTGTTCTGTGTTGCGGTCCTGACCAATTTCGGATTGTTCATTTGACAGAAAGTTCAATGGCGTCCAATTGCAAAAAGAAATGTTTAAACATGAGGGGAGAGAAAAAAAAAAAATTCATTCTGAATCCTGCTTCCTCCCCTCTTATTCAAACAAGAAAGAACAATAATAATGTTGAATCGCTGAACATCATCTATGTTGCATTGACGAATCTCTACCGCAGGAAGAAATCATGCATAGGTCAAAGATATGCACGGACAACACAAAGCAGTTTTGTGGTCTGTCTGCTCCGTCTGTTGTGTCTGTCTGTCTGTCTGTCCATCTGTTTGTCGGTCTGCTATGGTTTGTATGTCTTTCTGCCTGTCTGTCCGTCTGTTTGTTTGTCAGTTTGTCGGTCTGTCACCTTGTCTGGTCATTCAGTCGGTCAGTCAGTCAGTCAGTCAGTCTGTTTGTCTGTATGTCTCTCCGTCTATTTGTTTGTCTGTCTGTCTGTCTGTCTGTCCGTCTGTTTGTCTGTCTGTCTGTCTGTCTGTCTTTCCGTCTTTTTGTCTGTCTGTCTGTCTGTCTGGTCTATAAGTGGATGAACCAGAATGAAAGGTTGTCTGATGGTCCAACATGTTTGTGTGTTTGTGTGTGTGTGTGTGTGTGTGTCCGTCTGTCTGTTTGTCAGTTTGTCTGTCTGTCGCCTTGTCTGGTCATTCAGTCATTCATTCAGTCAGTCAGTCGGTCAGTTTGTTTGTTTGTATGTCTCTCCGTCTGTCTGTCTGTCTGTCTGTCTGTCTGTCTGTCTGTCCGTCTGTTTGTCTGTTTGTCTGTCTGTCTGTCTGTCTGTCTTTCCGTCTGTTTGTCTGTCTGTCTGTCTGTCTGTCTGTCTGTCTGGTCTATAAGTGGATAAACCAAAATGAAAGGTTGTCTGATGGTCCAACATGTTTGTGTGTTTGTGTGTGTGTGTGTGTGTATGTGTGTGTGTGTGTGTGTGTGTGTGTGTGTGTCTGTTTGTTAGTTTGTTTGTCTGTCGCCTTGTCTGGTCATTCAGTCATTCAGTTAGTCAGTCAGTCAGTTTGTTTATTTGTATGTCTCTCCGTCTGTCTGTCTATCTGTCTGTCTTTCCATCTGTTTGTCTGTCTGTTTGTCTATCTGTCTGGTCTGTAAGTGGATGAACCAGAATGAAAGGTTGTATGATGGTCCAACATGTCTGTGTGTGTGTGTGTGTGTGTGTGTGTGTCTGTCTGTCCGT